TACTGTTAAGTTGATACCCTGCAATATAGATAAGTATCGATCTATCTAGAAAATAGCTTATTGATCGTCTAGAAATTCAATATCCCCCTACTTAAATTATTGCAAAATCACTTTTTTCATCATCCAATATAATTTTTCTAAAATGTATTTTGCTATATTTAAATTACTTGCAACCATTTAAATTTATACTATTATTCATCTTTATAAAGTAAATATTTGTTATTAATTAGTTAAAATAAATATATAAAATTAATTGTAGTTAAATTTATAATTAATTTTAATTGGGATACAATTTGAAAAAAAAAAAATTGTAGACAAATTTCTATTGTCGTCCGTCCGTTTGTCTGTCTTTCCTTAATCTCGAGATTAAAGTTAGATAGATATAAAATTATACGAAATGTGGAAACCGTAGGGGCAGAAAGCCCTGATTAACTATATAAAACACTCTGAAACAAACCGAAAGTCATATGAATTCAATTCAAAAATTACCCCTGAAAGGAGTTCGATAGATGATCGGCATGATTGTATTGTATTCTAACAGGAAAAGTATGATGTACAGGGGCAAGACAATTATGAAATTAACATAAATTAAGTTTAAATAATTCCATAAATATAAATAGTCCACTGCAAAATATATAAGAAGGAATTACTAAAAGATTTGAAATTTTCTTGAAAGTGATTGGTTAACGAATTAAAATAGGCGAAAATTCATTCAAAATTTCGATTTCTTAACCAATCAACGTTTAGAAAGTAAAATTTTAAATCGAATTTCTTTCAAATCTACGAATTCATTTTTTTTTAATAATTAGCAAGGGTCTGCTTTTGTTCATAAAAACTTTTCTTTTAATTCTTACCCATTTAAAATTAATAAATTACATTAAAAAAACTATTATTTAATAAGTTTATATGATANTTTCTGGAACGTTTACAATCGTTCTATAATCGAACCAATATTCGAATTTTATGTTCGAATTAAATTCGAACATAAATTCGAACAAATTCGAACAAAAGTTTGAATTCAAAATAATTTTTTAAAAAAAGGAATTTCGAAGGCTGTAATGGATATTGGAATCCGAATTTTTGGAAGGAAAATTAAAGAAATGTTTCGAACCCTTCTTATAAAAAGGTTTTTCTTTTAAATAGAATCACCTACATAACCTAATACTTGTATGCTTTAAAATGTATAAAATAGTCAAGATTTATGTATAAAAAGTTCAGCCAAATAATATTTAAAAAAACGAAAAAAATTAGCTATTCCAATTGGGAGTAAGTAATTTTATTTATTTGAATACTCCATTCGTGTCTAATTATTTCTATTAATTCATGAAGATCATTCTTTCTTATTTAAATTATAATTTTGTCATGTATTCATTGACTTTTTCATGTTAAATTGTTAGAAAAAAAATCAAATATATATCTAATCATTTTGTATGATTTTATTTTAATTACGGTAACTTAATTTACTCTTATTTTTGGCACGTTTTGATGTTTTATAGACTTGTTATATTCAGAGATGCCTTAAAAATTAGCTGAAATAACATTTAGAAATGATTAAAGAACGCAAAATTTAATAATAATGTTTTTTTTTAGCATAGGCAGTCCTTTGTGAGTTGTGTGAGATGCAGTTGCTTGAAGATCGTTAACGCTAATTGGTTGGAGATTTTAGAATTACTTCATTGAATTTTTCAAGTTAAATCATTAAAAATCTTTAACATATTTGAATATTTACATTTTCTTAAAGTAAATACAGCTAATTTACATTATTATTTTGTTAAATATTGAAAGCATTATTATACAATTTAAAAAATAGAAAAATTCATTAATTTTTATATTCTAAAACTGGCTTTTGATAGTGTAATATAGAAGCAAATGTATTAATTTTGGAAAACACATTTCTATATAAAGTTTTTTTTTAGAAATTTTGTATAAAATGCCCTAATCTTGCTAGCAGAATTTTATGCTAGTACAAAAATAATTTGAACTTATAATTGAATTTTCTTCAGAAAATGCTAACTTATAGTGTAAAGTAGTTATAGTTCAAAGCAGCACGATTTTCTTTAAAAATTCATTATTAGTACACCGGTAGAATCAGGCCCTATCACAGGAGAAACCAGCCGAGCATTTCAGTCAAGCATTACGTTTAATGAGGACTCAAAAACATTTTTCGTGAATTCCATTCCATTTCTTGTACTGTATATAAACAAAACATCCTTTTTGCTCTTGTAATATACTACTGCCTCAAAAAATAAATTAAATTAATAAATAAAGAAAGAGATGGCCTCTCGACTCTTCAGAGGCTCTAATTAGATCTATTTTTAAGAAAAATAATTTTTCAAGGAGTCAATTATTTGCATTTTTTCTTTCTTAGTACAATACATTTATTATTCTACTGCACAGATAAGTAAAGAAAACAATTATAAACTGTTATAAAAACAATAAGAAACGTAATAAAATTTTTAACAATGTCCCTTTTTTTAACTCTATTAATGCTTTAGTTATAATTATTTTTTGTGTATTCAAACAATACTGTAATATTATATTTATAGTCTATTGTTGACAATACTGTTATTAAAATTTCGTAAAGTTTAAACTATATTTTTTCTGCTAATTTAATTGTTTTCTTAGGTACGTTTGAAATTTCTGCCATATTGTTCTTTATAAGAGGGTTGTTATATATATAATTAAAAATTATTTTTATAATCTCTTTTTAATAGATATTATTGAAACTTGATGATTTAAAAGCTTTTTAATTTAAAAAATATATATTTTTATACAAGTATCAGGAATAATAAAATGTAAACTACACGTTAAACTTCTTTGCTGCATGGTTTCAGAATAAAGACATCTAAGGTCAAAATTTAAGAAATTTCATATAAAAATTAATAATTAATATAAATTAAAGTTTATATATTGATCGTTTTTCATGCTAAATAATGTTGGAAAAATCAAGTTTTAGCTGCAATGGTTCCGTTTGTTACAATTCTCATAAACTTAGGCGGATGCAACGTAGTTATGGCCTTAATATAATTAAATGTATATCGATTGAATACGGTATACGAGAAGCACACATTACTTCTACTTTAATTTATGAACGTGTTTCTGTTTTAGTGTGAAATTGTACTGCATTAATTAAATAAAACAAATTTCCTATTTATTTTTTTGTATCAAGTAAAATGATCGTGATAGTCAGACTTTTCAGGTAGATTATAAAGAAAATTTACTACAAAAATTTAACGTATTTGTACATAATTCAATATCTTATCACTTCATATCTTTTATATGTTTGTACAACGGTGATTTTATATATTTTGGGAAATGCAACTATATATATAGACAAAGACCTTGTAGATGAAAATATGAACTGACGTAAGACATCTGTAAATATTCCATATGGAATTTTCTAACTTTGTTAATTTATTTGTGGTTTTTTTTCATAATGATTTTTACAAAATTTAAGTAAGTAAATTACAAAAATACAAGTAAATTATGACATTTTTTGAAATTTGTAATTATTTATAAGTTAGTAAAAAGTCACGAAAAACTGGAACCAGGATACTATATGCATAGAAGAAACCATGCACTAAATTCCAGCAATATTTAATTTGAAAAACAAATGTTTTTGGCATTCTTGATAGGCCTGCTTTAGATATTTTACACTGTGTTATAAAAATTTAACTTTTGGAATAATATATTATATACAAAATTTAGAATATTATTATATTTTATAATGTCCTTTGCAAAAATTTTATAAGAAATAATTTTAAATATAAATAACCTGAGAGAGAGCAATGTAACTGTCTTACTTGTTGTGATTTCTCCGTGGCTTTTTAAAGGTTTTTCATGCAGATGATATAATTTGGCAATTTTTAAAATTAATGCATTGTATTTTCGTAGATGCTTTAAAAATTTCTGGTTTTTCTGATCCATTTTGTAAGTTCGTTTCATGGTCTTCGCATCCTCTAGGTTAGATTTGATACCTGGCGGTGTCGAGTCCGTTGGTATTAATATCATACTTATGCTCCCTTATTCTTTTGTATAAAGATCTTACTGTAGAACGAATATATGTTAGTGTTCTTTTAAATCTATCATCAGTGATAGATATACTTTAGACCTCCGAATCTTCCTTTGGGTGTGAGATGTCCTTACCGCTGTGCAATATTTTGTGTGCTGTTGGATTACGACGATACGCGATTTTGGTTCCCACGTATCTGACAATTTCCTTATAAATTGGGTTAAGTATTGGATCATAGTCAACAAACACATGTGTAGTGGTGGAAGTTGGTTGGTTGTGTGTGTTTGGAGAAGATTTCACCCTAGTGTTATGCGTAAAAATTCATGCGAATTTTAGTATGCATAGCCGAATTCTTGAATAATATTACCCATACGAAAATTCCAAATGGACCAAATCAGAACTTTAGAAAAAATAGAGATTTTTAAGGCATTTATATGAAAGGAGAATGCATTAATTTTAAAGACTGTCAACCTATATTATCTGTATGGATAGCCTTCTTTGATAAGCCATGGGGAAGTTACAACTAAGACTTACAAGTTAGTTAAATTGCTCTTTATTAAGTCTTATAAAATTTCTTTAAAGAATATCATAAAATATAATATTCTTCTAGGTTCAAACATTATTTCAAATGTTAAATTTGTATAACGCAGTGTAAAAGACCTTAAGCAGCCTAGCAGGAAGCCCGAAAATGTTTGTTTTTCGAGTTAAGTATTGCTGGAATTTAATGTGTGGTTTTTTACGGTTATCGTATCCATTAAGATTAATCTTATTTATTAAATTAAAATTCAAGTTTTAAATAAAAAAAATTTCAATCTTTAATCATTATATCATAGAGCTTTAATAAAAAGATATAATTTTTGTCTTTAATTTTCTGTCCATTCTATATATTTATTATTATTTCTTGTAGGAATTTCATTAATAAAAAAATTTAATTTATTACATTGATAAAGAGTAGACACTTTTTGATTTTTATTGAATTTTGTTTCAGATTAACAAGATTTATATGCCATTAAGCTTGAAGAATTTTATATGTCCATCTGGCCATTTCGTTTGGCCATAAGTTATAACTCAATTTATTTATTGGAATGTTATTACAACAGTTGGAAAATATATTTCGTGAACATTATGATATGGAGATAAAAGTTGGTAGAAATGAAAATAGCAGAAAATTTAAACGTGCAAATACGACCGAAGCCATACGTCTCACCAAGAAAAATACAACGAATAGTCGAGAATTCACTTGGAAAATTCAAGATAAAACCATTAAACTAATGACAAAAAGAAGTAAATGGACGGCAAAATTACCAACCAAATACAAGAAAAAATTAATTAAAGAATGTTTAGAAAAAGATCTTCGTGTGGTACTCAACAAAATCGAAGATTGTCCAAACATTAATGCAGTATGGATATACGATAAGAATATAGGAAAGTATAGATGGATCGATTATGAACTTATGATTAGTGAGAAGGAAGAAAGTATCAACACTAAAGACAAAACAATAGCAAAAGATTCAGACAATGAATTCAATTTCATCATCAGTGATATTAGAGGTAACGCATCAGATATTTTCGAAAATTTTTCCTCTGATGCAGAAACTGAAATCATGCCAAGTTGTGATGAATTAGCAGAAATGGAAAATGATCTGTTCGAAATTAATGAGAAATATAAACCTGTTTATAATAATGATATTAGCTCACGAGTTGACGAGTCTATTACAATTGAAGAAGAAAACGAAGAAGAAGCAATAGACGAAGACCGTATTGTTACTGATACTGATGCAAATTACTCTGAAGGAAACTGCACCACTGAAAATGATCAAGATAAAGAATGGGATAACCTTCTGAGCGATAAATTACAAACAGATTCAGAAGAACCTTCAAAAAGCGAAAAAAATAAGAAGCCGAGAAAATCAGAAAATTCACAACGTAAAAGTAAAAATAGAGAGACGAACAATAAGACAAGAAAAAAGAGAAAGAATCAAACACGGAAGAACTTATCCTTGAAAAATCCGGTTTCCAGAAATATTAAATCGAATAAAGTAAAAACAGATAATGATAAATGCCATTACTTGTACGTGAAAAACAGAAAGAGGAAGCATTCCAAACTTTTTAACGAAATCCTTAAATTGGCACCATCTTATTGGAGGAATAGAAATTACCTCCGCCCAATTTTACCAAAAAAAGTAGAAAATAAAGATTCAAAAACATTACTAACATTAAAATTCAAGCTTTCAAATTTACATCAAAAGATTGTTGATTTAAAACAGGAAGAAGAATGCAACAAAGAAAGCCAACACCAAGATACAAAAATCACAGAAAATACATGGAACGAAAAACCTCAGAGTAATGAAGATGATGAAGAAGAGGATCACAGAAAGAAATATAATTTTATAAACACTAAACCAGGTATTTATATAAAATATATTTTTTAAAATATTTAGAGTTTTTAAATATATTTAACACGCAAGAAAGGGGGGAAGTAGTAAACTTTTAGAAAATTAGTTTTGTAATCATCAAGGTTATTAAAAGAATTCTTCAAGGTTATTTGTTATAAAAGGATATACCTTGAAAAATTGCATGATCATTCGGCTTTTAAGTAGAAATAATACTTAAAGATATTTTTAATGAATCTGTAAAAAAGTAAAATATACAATTTTACGTGTACATCAAACAAACTGTTCTGGCGTAGAGCAGCTGTAAAGAATTAAACAAAGAATAACCAAATATATATATGTTCCATTATAAATGCGTGCATTCTGGCTATAGAAAAGGTTCATTTGTACAGTACGTAAAATCTTTTAAACTTTAATTTATTTTTTTATTACTGTATTTTTGAAATCGTAATTTACATAATTTTACATTACTTTAGTACCCTTTATAGTATACCAATTAATTTATTAATTTAATGCTATTTTATATACTATAAATTAAATTTAAATTTAATTATATTAAGAGACATTTTAACCATTTAAAAATTAAGGTTTCTTATTATTGAATTTGCAGTTTTCATATAAATTAAATCGTATACAAATTAATCATTTTGTAAGCAAATTTTATCCTAAAGCAATAATTCTACTCTTTTTGAATGTCAGTTTTTCTGTTCATTTGCATCAAAAATTTAATTTAAAATAAATTTAATTTACGCTTATTATTTTATCATTGAGTTGTAAACAATTTCAAAAATTTACATATAAATTTGTATATTTTTTTTAAAATAAAAATCGACAATAATTACAAATAATTTAATTTTTTTTTAAATAATTAAAATTACTTCATTTTATTGTGGAAAAGGTTTTCAAATTCTTCCAATTTAAACTTTTCTGTTTGCTAATTTTGTCATTTATTGATTAAATTTTAATGGTTTATGAATTTTAAAATTAATTTAGAAGCTAAATAAACTATATAATTTATAAAAATTTAATGGTATTTTTTTATTTTTTCGACTCAAATGTCATATATATTTTTACTTGATTATCATTAAATGAGGTTCATAATTTAATTAGTAAGAAAACTGATATGTAGCAGCAACATGCAGATTCTTCGATTTTAGTTAAAGGAAAATTTAAAAATAAATTTTAAATATTCTTAAAATACACAATTTTTCTTTCATTTAAATAACCTTATTTAATTGTACGTTATATAAAAAACAAAATATATAAAATTTGTCATCAAAAATTGATAAATTAAGAAAATTCGTCCAACTTATATCATTCTTTCTTCCAGTTTTTGCTTATTTTTGATTAAATTTAAGATCTTTTTTGAATTTTTAAGCTTTATATAATCTATTTTTATAAAAGTAAATTATATTTTCAACTCAGTTATTATTTATTTTACTTAATAATAATCAAATTATCTATGCAGTTTGAGTACTAAAAACAAAATTTATAAAGCTAATTTTCTAAAAATTTTTACTCTATTTATTATTTAAATAATTTTATTTAATCGTATCCTATATAAAAATATCAAATTAATCATTAATAACTTATAAAATCGTTCTTTAAAACTACAAAAATCGAATAATCTTTCACCCTCTTTCATACTCACTGTCTTAAAAATTTTGAATTTTTAACCATGATAATAATAAAATAAATATATACATATGAATTATTTATAAGAATATTTTAATAATAAATTTAATTACTTACAATTATAATAATTTAAAATATAAGCAGAATTATTCCCAATTCTCTGATGTAATTTCGTGTATCAGTTGATGTCAAGATAATCACTTTTCTATACTTTTATTATCATAAATGATAAGGAAAATAAATTATAATTTAAATTAATTAATTATTTAGTTTATAAAAAAGCATAAAAAATAATTTTATAAGGTGATTACATGGCAGAAATTTAAAGATAAACATGTATATATACACACGCTCATATAAATCGATACTGTTAAGTTGATACCCTGCAATATAGATAAGTATCGATCTATCTAGAAAATAGCTTATTGATCGTCTAGAAATTCAATATCCCCCTACTTAAATTATTGCAAAATCACTTTTTTCATCATCCAATATAATTTTTCTAAAATGTATTTTGCTATATTTAAATTACTTGCAACCATTTAAATTTATACTATTATTCATCTTTATAAAGTAAATATTTGTTATTAATTAGTTAAAATAAATATATAAAATTAATTGTAGTTAAATTTATAATTAATTTTAATTGGGATACAATTTGAAAAAAAAAAAATTGTAGACAAATTTCTATTGTCGTCCGTCCGTTTGTCTGTCTTTCCTTAATCTCGAGATTAAAGTTAGATAGATATAAAATTATACGAAATGTGGAAACCGTAGGGGCAGAAAGCCCTGATTAACTATATAAAACACTCTGAAACAAACCGAAAGTCATATGAATTCAATTCAAAAATTACCCCTGAAAGGAGTTCGATAGATGATCGGCATGATTGTATTGTATTCTAACAGGAAAAGTATGATGTACAGGGGCAAGACAATTATGAAATTAACATAAATTAAGTTTAAATAATTCCATAAATATAAATAGTCCACTGCAAAATATATAAGAAGGAATTACTAAAAGATTTGAAATTTTCTTGAAAGTGATTGGTTAACGAATTAAAATAGGCGAAAATTCATTCAAAATTTCGATTTCTTAACCAATCAACGTTTAGAAAGTAAAATTTTAAATCGAATTTCTTTCAAATCTACGAATTCATTTTTTTTTAATAATTAGCAAGGGTCTGCTTTTGTTCATAAAAACTTTTCTTTTAATTCTTACCCATTTAAAATTAATAAATTACATTAAAAAAACTATTATTTAATAAGTTTATATGATATTTTTTTAATATATACACTTAATTAAGTTTTAATGAGGTCCAAAAGTGAAAGCGGAACAGATAACGTTGCATATGTAAACAAAATTAAAGTTAGATATGACGACATTAAGGTTGATAAACGAGTTTTATATGTAAATAATTTATAACAGAATATATATATTTACAAAATAAATTTTAAGAAAATAACATGGAGCAAAATATCTAGAATTATTTTTAATTCTTCTTAATTTTACTGGATTTTGAAGGGTAGATACACACAGCCAGACATATCATTTATAATATGTGAATATCTGAATATTATAAATGCTATTTATTATATTTAAATAGAATTATTTACGAATAGAATAATAAGAATAACATTTAAACTATGATATTACACTTAGATAATATTTTAAGATATCGTTTATCTTGAACGTAAGATAATAAATGATATATAATTATAATAATTGAAATAAAAATTAAATTAAATTAACATTTAAAGACGCAGAAAATATTAAATTATATTTAAATAATTCGATATAAGTATAAATAGTCCACTACAAAATAAATAAGATGAAATTACTGAAAGATTTGAGATTTTCTTGAAAATGATTGGTTAACGAATTAACCAATCAACGCTAAGAAAATTAAATTTTAAACTAAATTTCTTTCAAATCTTCGCGAATTTATTTTATATAATTATTACGTTTTTTTGTTTTTTTTTTAATTTTAAGAAGTTAATATGAAAAAAATTATATAAAAATTAATTAATTATTTATAGAATTAGCTAATGTATATAAATGTATAATACTAAAGTATACGTTTATAGAATATAATATATAATTTTTAAATTTTATACAGTGAAGAATAAATGGTTAAGCAATGAAAATTATTATAAATAATTACTAAAAAAGCTTTTTTTTAAGTAAAAATAAATTAAAGAATATTTAAGGAAAAGGTAAAACAGTTTAATTTTTTCAAAGAAATGGCTGCAAAATATGTAAATAAATAAATATATATATATATTAATTAATTTCATAGATTTAAGACTTTGCAACAGACAAGCCATAAGTAGGATTTAATGTGAACAAAAATGTAAATGTAAATTTAGTTCTTATAATTTGATTTTTATTCCCTTCTAAATGAGAAGGAATAATTTGATTTTCACGATTTAAATAAAATTAGTCTCACGAAATCATTCAAAAGATAATATTGTAATTAATTCGATAATTTATTATACTTTATAAGTCATTAGAAAAGAATCCAAGAAATCAATATTGAGAAGGAAGCGAGGAAAGTATCGATCAAATATTTGTAAAAAAAATACACATAAATAGTATTTTAATACTATTTTTTATTTGTATGAAGTTATTTCATATTTTAACTAATAAATTATTTATTTCTAAAAACAATTTTATAACATATTCATCTATATATTGCCCAAAGCATATATATATATATAACCAATGGCTTTATTTTGATCTCGAAACACTGGTTATAACATAAAATTTAAGCAGAATTTATTAATATAGTAAGAAAATGCCACGTTTATAGTAGTGTTTCAGGTAAAAATATTTTTCCCCTCTATCTAATATGTGTAAAATCTAAGAAAACCAACAGAGATAAGGTCGTTCTTTAAGTATATTTTCTTTAATTTAGTGTAAACACGTCGTTGAATTTGCTAATTTGGTTTACAGTAGAGTCGAACTTTAGAAGCACATGTATTACAGGAAAAAATACATAAAAATGATGTTGATTCTAGGTTCACTTTGTTCTTGAGTTCCACGTTATTCTATTAAGTGAAACAATATAGAGGTAAATTTCTCTTCTGGAATCTTAATTATGAAAAATATGTGTTTATATTATCTTGATTTACTTATCAAACTTACCAGAAAAAAAATTTATTTTATACTTATTCGATAAAAACCATGAAGTCATAAATCATAATAAAGTGTCACAATTTAAACGAGGATGAATACATTTGGATAGTTGATAGTCTACTTGTAGATCCGGATGGATTTACATGTAGACTGTCAACAGCGCAATGTTTTGACTGTGTTGAAGAATAGAGGTCATAGAAAAAATTTGAAAATCCTGACGAATTTTTATTAACATTCGAAATTATTTCAAAAATATTTACTGATGATAAGAACACATATACTGATGTTAAAAATAAAAATAAATAAGAACAGAATTGACAATGGAGCACACAGGAAATAAATTTTGCCACGTGTATATAGTCAAAACGTCATGTTTTGTGACTGTTACAACCTGATAAATTACCTTTATTTGTAGTATTGCACCGTTAGACGACCAAATACGTTGTCATGTCACCAAAACTTTGCAATATTTCTCAGCACACAATTTCCTATAAAAAAAAATTCAGAATAAGATATTGTCTGTTATATTTTCTACGGTATGATATAAACTTAAATTAAGCTGTTATAAAAATAAAATTATTCATTTTAAATCTTAAAAATACTTATAAATATAAGCGGGCCTTAGTCATACATTTAAGATAAAACTCCCGAATGAATTTAAACGAAATTGATTAGATACATCTTAACAATAATTGGTTATATTTAAATAAATAGGCGTGTCTACTCTAAACTAATACTCTGCGCTTTATATCTTAGAAATTTCACAGAGGACAACATATGTCGATTAGAGTTGTAAAATTTTAAATTAATTTTAATATATTTTTTAATATAAATAGGCTATAAGTTTGTCCTGTTTATAATTAAAAAACATTGGAGCAAAAGCAGTTTTCAAGTTTCTGGGAAAAATCACCCTAAAATTTCAAATTTTCTCTATATTTTAGGACCGATTACAAATGACTAATGATATTAGAGGTTAATAGGCTAGTCTATAATAAGTTATGGGTCATGAATCTGGAAATTGAATTGGATTGATGAGATAGGGCAACCCAACATATGAGCAATTTATCAAGTAGGGTGATCCTTCCGGGAGAAATACTATGGTAAACTTGCCTGTATTTAGGTGTTATACACGTGAAGAAAACCCGGAAAACATCAGTTCGTTTGTCAGGCACAAGTGTTCAATAGTTTTATCTATTCGATCAATAATGAGATGATTGTGGAAATAATATCAACTCTGTTTGTAGAAATTCAAGAATATTCAACAAAGAAACTTAATTAGTATGTTCTTGTCCCAAAGATTTCAATTATAAGCTTAAGAACTTCGATAAAATGAATCAAGTAAAAATATTTGACTAATTTTTATCTTATGAGATATTTTATAATGTAAACAAACATTTCAGTAGAATAAAATAAAAATATATTTGTTTCCTCAGAGTAAATTAATTANATAATTAATATAAATTAAAGTTTATATATTGATCGTTTTTCATGCTAAATAATGTTGGAAAAATCAAGTTTTAGCTGCAATGGTTCCGTTTGTTACAATTCTCATAAACTTAGGCGGATGCAACGTAGTTATGGCCTTAATATAATTAAATGTATATCGATTGAATACGGTATACGAGAAGCACACATTACTTCTACTTTAATTTATGAACGTGTTTCTGTTTTAGTGTGAAATTGTACTGCATTAATTAAATAAAACAAATTTCCTATTTATTTTTTTGTATCAAGTAAAATGATCGTGATAGTCAGACTTTTCAGGTAGATTATAAAGAAAATTTACTACAAAAATTTAACGTATTTGTACATAATTCAATATCTTATCACTTCATATCTTTTATATGTTTGTACAACGGTGATTTTATATATTTTGGGAAATGCAACTATATATATAGACAAAGACCTTGTAGATGAAAATATGAACTGACGTAAGACATCTGTAAATATTCCATATGGAATTTTCTAACTTTGTTAATTTATTTGTGGTTTTTTTTCATAATGATTTTTACAAAATTTAAGTAAGTAAATTACAAAAATACAAGTAAATTATGACATTTTTTGAAATTTGTAATTATTTATAAGTTAGTAAAAAGTCACGAAAAACTGGAACCAGGATACTATATGCATAGAAGAAACCATGCACTAAATTCCAGCAATATTTAATTTGAAAAACAAATGTTTTTGGCATTCTTGATAGGCCTGCTTTAGATATTTTACACTGTGTTATAAAAATTTAACTTTTGGAATAATATATTATATACAAAATTTAGAATATTATTATATTTTATAATGTCCTTTGCAAAAATTTTATAAGAAATAATTTTAAATATAAATAACCTGAGAGAGAGCAATGTAACTGTCTTACTTGTTGTGATTTCTCCGTGGCTTTTTAAAGGTTTTTCATGCAGATGATATAATTTGGCAATTTTTAAAATTAATGCATTGTATTTTCGTAGATGCTTTAAAAATTTCTGGTTTTTCTGATCCATTTTGTAAGTTCGTTTCATGGTCTTCGCATCCTCTAGGTTAGATTTGATACCTGGCGGTGTCGAGTCCGTTGGTATTAATATCATACTTATGCTCCCTTATTCTTTTGTATAAAGATCTTACTGTAGAACGAATATATGTTAGTGTTCTTTTAAATCTATCATCAGTGATAGATATACTTTAGACCTCCGAATCTTCCTTTGGGTGTGAGATGTCCTTACCGCTGTGCAATATTTTGTGTGCTGTTGGATTACGACGATACGCGATTTTGGTTCCCACGTATCTGACAATTTCCTTATAAATTGGGTTAAGTATTGGATCATAGTCAACAAACACATGTGTAGTGGTGGAAGTTGGTTGGTTGTGTGTGTTTGGAGAAGATTTCACCCTAGTGTTATGCGTAAAAATTCATGCGAATTTTAGTATGCATAGCCGAATTCTTGAATAATATTACCCATACGAAAATTCCAAATGGACCAAATCAGAACTTTAGAAAAAATAGAGATTTTTAAGGCATTTATATGAAAGGAGAATGCATTAATTTTAAAGACTGTCAACCTATATTATCTGTATGGATAGCCTTCTTTGATAAGCCATGGGGAAGTTACAACTAAGACTTACAAGTTAGTTAAATTGCTCTTTATTAAGTCTTATAAAATTTCTTTAAAGAATATCATAAAATATAATATTCTTCTAGGTTCAAACATTATTTCAAATGTTAAATTTGTATAACGCAGTGTAAAAGACCTTAAGCAGCCTAGCAGGAAGCCCGAAAATGTTTGTTTTTCGAGTTAAGTATTGCTGGAATTTAATGTGTGGTTTTTTACGGTTATCGTATCCATTAAGATTAATCTTATTTATTAAATTAAAATTCAAGTTTTAAATAAAAAAAATTTCAATCTTTAATCATTATATCATAGAGCTTTAATAAAAAGATATAATTTTTGTCTTTAATTTTCTGTCCATTCTATATATTTATTATTATTTCTTGTAGGAATTTCATTAATAAAAAAATTTAATTTATTACATTGATAAAGAGTAGACACTTTTTGATTTTTATTGAATTTTGTTTCAGATTAACAAGATTTATATGCCATTAAGCTTGAAGAATTTTATATGTCCATCTGGCCATTTCGTTTGGCCATAAGTTATAACTCAATTTATTTATTGGAATGTTATTACAACAGTTGGAAAATATATTTCGTGAACATTATGATATGGAGATAAAAGTTGGTAGAAATGAAAATAGCAGAAAATTTAAACGTGCAAATACGACCGAAGCCATACGTCTCACCAAGAAAAATACAACGAATAGTCGAGAATTCACTTGGAAAATTCAAGATAAAACCATTAAACTAATGACAAAAAGAAGTAAATGGACGGCAAAATTACCAACCAAATACAAGAAAAAATTAATTAAAGAATGTTTAGAAAAAGATCTTCGTGTGGTACTCAACAAAATCGAAGATTGTCCAAACATTAATGCAGTATGGATATACGATAAGAATATAGGAAAGTATAGATGGATCGATTATGAACTTATGATTAGTGAGAAGGAAGAAAGTATCAACACTAAAGACAAAACAATAGCAAAAGATTCAGACAATGAATTCAATTTCATCATCAGTGATATTAGAGGTAACGCATCAGATATTTTCGAAAATTTTTCCTCTGATGCAGAAACTGAAATCATGCCAAGTTGTGATGAATTAGCAGAAATGGAAAATGATCTGTTCGAAATTAATGAGAAATATAAACCTGTTTATAATAATGATATTAGCTCACGAGTTGACGAGTCTATTACAATTGAAGAAGAAAACGAAGAAGAAGCAATAGACGAAGACCGTATTGTTACTGATACTGATGCAAATTACTCTGAAGGAAACTGCACCACTGAAAATGATCAAGATAAAGAATGGGATAACCTTCTGAGCGATAAATTACAAACAGATTCAGAAGAACCTTCAAAAAGCGAAAAAAATAAGAAGCCGAGAAAATCAGAAAATTCACAACGTAAAAGTAAAAATAGAGAGACGAACAATAAGACAAGAAAAAAGAGAAAGAATCAAACACGGAAGAACTTATCCTTGAAAAATCCGGTTTCCAGAAATATTAAATCGAATAAAGTAAAAACAGATAATGATAAATGCCATTACTTGTACGTGAAAAACAGAAAGAGGAAGCATTCCAAACTTTTTAACGAAATCCTTAAATTGGCACCATCTTATTGGAGGAATAGAAATTACCTCCGCCCAATTTTACCAAAAAAAGTAGAAAATAAAGATTCAAAAACATTACTAACATTAAAATTCAAGCTTTCAAATTTACATCAAAAGATTGTTGATTTAAAACAGGAAGAAGAATGCAACAAAGAAAGCCAACACCAAGATACAAAAATCACAGAAAATACATGGAACGAAAAACCTCAGAGTAATGAAGATGATGAAGAAGAGGATCACAGAAAGAAATATAATTTTATAAACACTAAACCAGGTATTTATATAAAATATATTTTTTAAAATATTTAGAGTTTTTAAATATATTTAACACGCAAGAAAGGGGGGAAGTAGTAAACTTTTAGAAAATTAGTTTTGTAATCATCAAGGTTATTAAAAGAATTCTTCAAGGTTATTTGTTATAAAAGGATATACCTTGAAAAATTGCATGATCATTCGGCTTTTAAGTAGAAATAATACTTAAAGATATTTTTAATGAATCTGTAAAAANAAATTGAATTCCTTTACAATAAATAAAATGGAGGTTTATTGAAATAATAATTTGTAGCAAAATGTCAGGGAGTTTTTTTTTTTTATAAAGAGAATAACCTGTAACAAAATCTGTGAAGGTTTTTCTAGAGAATAATTTATATTAAAATGTATGAGGAAGACTTTTATTATTAAACTAACAAAAGTCATTCGTTTAACTTCCTCAGATAATTATTGATCTTTACATAAATTATTTCCCCCCCTCCAAATGTTTGTTCGCTTTTGAAAGTTATCGACCCCAAAAATAGACAAATTAAACCATTGATTAAGTGAATAAAACTACTGTGAATGTTATAAAAAAAAAATTATTCGTAATTCTTATTTAATTACTATCCTTAAAAAAAAATCTAACAACGTTAGCAAATTTCCATAAACGCAATTAGAATTTAAATTAATTAATTTAGTAGAGAATTTCTAAACATTCAACAAGGTTAACAACTACATAAACTATAGAAGAATGAGGTTAAATTCTATGTATTTAAAATTTTGTTTATCATCAAAAAATATTTTTAAAATATCAACTAGATATTATATAAAATACTAATTTTTTTTTCTTAAATACTCTTTTTAACTTTAATATTTCTAGCTTCTATCTCTTAGTAAATCCTTCTTACAACATAGATGCATTCATGTTATTAATATTAATCTTCCAACATCCTGAAATTCAATTTTAATGCAAACTAATATTAAATTTCGATAAGTTATTACGCTAAATATTCGTAGAAGGAGATAAAATGTTGAAAGAATCGATTTTTTTTTTCTTTCGTTGAAAATTTCTCGTTGGAATTCATATTTAATTAATCAAAATTCAATTATCTTCTCGTTATAAAATTGATATCGTTTTATTAGAAAACTAAATAGATTTTTCTGTTAAAAAAATTGTTTATTTAACACTAAATAATAACGTTAAATTGTATTTTTAGAGATTAATTTTTTTAAAGAATAAAAAAACCACATGATTTATCTGTTAATAATATATATATATATATATATATATAGTCTTGAGGAGTTTATATCCAAGGTTATTAAAAGAATTCTTCAAGGTTATTTGTTATAAAAGGATATACCTTGAAAAATTGCATGATCATTCGGCTTTTAAGTAGAAATAATACTTAAAGATATTTTTAATGAATCTGTAAAAAAGTAAAATATACAATTTTACGTGTACATCAAACAAACTGTTCTGGCGTAGAGCAGCTGTAAAGAATTAAACAAAGAATAACCAAATATATATATGTTCCATTATAAATGCGTGCATTCTGGCTATAGAAAAGGTTCATTTGTACAGTACGTAAAATCTTTTAAACTTTAATTTATTTTTTTATTACTGTATTTTTGAAATCGTAATTTACATAATTTTACATTACTTTAGTACCCTTTATAGTATACCAATTAATTTATTAATTTAATGCTATTTTATATACTATAAATTAAATTTAAATTTAATTATATTAAGAGACATTTTAACCATTTAAAAATTAAGGTTTCTTATTATTGAATTTGCAGTTTTCATATAAATTAAATCGTATACAAATTAATCATTTTGTAAGCAAATTTTATCCTAAAGCAATAATTCTACTCTTTTTGAATGTCAGTTTTTCTGTTCATTTGCATCAAAAATTTAATTTAAAATAAATTTAATTTACGCTTATTATTTTATCATTGAGTTGTAAACAATTTCAAAAATTTACATATAAATTTGTATATTTTTTTTAAAATAAAAATCGACAATAATTACAAATAATTTAATTTTTTTTTAAATAATTAAAATTACTTCATTTTATTGTGGAAAAGGTTTTCAAATTCTTCCAATTTAAACTNTATATATATATATATATAGTCTTGAGTAGTTTATATCTATATATAAAATTTTTTAGTTTATAAACTTGTAAAATAACACCAAAACAACATATTTTTATATAATAATTTAATCTTTATTTCATAAAGTTTTGTATTAAAGGATTTAAAATCTGTTTTTTTTTGTTTTTTTGTTTATTTAATGTTTGTCTGTCACGCTATCATAAATTTCGAATTATTTCTTGCATTTCCTGCTTCTAAAATTGTTATTAAATTCATATCATAAAACTTTTCCTTTAATTTTTACGTTCTAAATGTATATGTGGTTTAATATTTTTAAAATTAAAAAGATAAAAAAAAAGTTTCCTATTAAGTAGTTAATAAATTTATTTCAGATTTACTCGAACACTAAAAAATTATAATATAAATGGATGGAATAATAGCCTTTAACTTTACAAAATAATGTATTATATCACTTCTTTATGAAAAAAGTAAATGTGTTCAAATATTATTGCCACCCGGTAGGACTTTCTATGTGAAACTTGCCTCTATTCAGGTGTTACTGATGTGAAGAAAACCTAGAAAACTGAACACCTATGACTAATCATCAATGTTCAGTGGTTTCATCCACTCGGTTACTGGTTGCCCTTGTTTTGGTAGCAGCTAATGAGCTATAGAATCTATTTTCTTTGAAATAGTTCTATATGTAGCTTAAAGTCCACTTTTTTATGTAGTTTTTTATATGTAAACTCTAAAAACTTCTCTATAGCTCTCCGTACACGACATACACGTGGCGTAATTACTATTTATATAACCTGTGCAAATGTATAGAAGGCCAAAGCAACTACGGGCGCTTGGGCTCTCTCCCATTAGGCGCAACAGCCGAAATTATAAAAAAGAAACTGACGAAAAATTACAGAAAACTCAATAGAGTGGTCACTCTAAATGTTACATAAGAGCCCATTCATACGTAGTTACTCCATTGACCATAGAAGTCTTTTCTTTTGGATGTGATGCTCCATCAATGACGTACCCAAAGTGGGCCACGGGATCTTGGCACCTTCCAAAGAAAAAAAAACAAACACTAAAAAATTAACTATTTTATTTTATTGTATCGTGTCTTCTATTTCTATACTACTTATGAACCAACGGTCACGTAAGTTGGGAATTTTATTGAATTCGCATTAAAAATTATTTTATCCGTTCAACTCGGTTCCCCCAAAATTAAATCGTGAGTGCACCACTAAACCCACTATATAAACTATACAACAAGGACGACAACAGTTGACACGTGTGGCGAATGTAACACGCCAACGACACACAACCTAGAATTCATCTTAAAAAATAAATATTCAACGTCCGTTTTATATACTTTTTGTATTTTATAAACAATTTATCTGGTTTCTAAAGTGTTTATATATGTGGTTATTTGATAAAACATCAAATAGTTTGCTTCCAAAAATTTGGTTGGCACGTAGAATTGGATCTTTTCGGATGAAGTGCAAGATAAAAGCTCTGGAAGCTCTAGAAAAAGCTCTGTAAAGGCCTATATCATCTCTCTCTTTTTTTAAAGCATCACTCTGATAAATATATTAAAGCCATTAACCTACTAAATTCAATAATTTAACATAATTCTTTACATTTTTTCTCGACGAAAATCTGAATTTTATTCGAATTATTGATATAACACGAAGAGAGAGAGAGAGAGAGAAGAGAATACTACAAAAATAATTATGAAAATTTAATAAATGAATTTAATTTTGCAACAGACTATATATTAGATTATTAATATTGGAAATAATGCGGAAAATTTCCAAATTGCAACCATCATTTGTTACTTAATTACGTCGTTTATGCCTGGTTATTATTGATTTGGTTGTCGTTTAAAGTCGTTTGGCTTAGTTTATGCATAATTACAATTTTCCAAAAGGGGGGAGGAAGACTTTATCTTTTGTAACAATTATTAAAAGAGATAAATAGTTTGAGATTTTCTTAAAGAAAATTAATCAAAGTAATTTAAAAAAAAAAGAAAAAATCGACATTTATCTATGATATAAATGAACGTTTTTCGTATATTTTTGTACTAATGAAAACGAATTTGCACAGCTTGAACCTCGTGATTAATACACATTAATCAAATATATCATGTCCGATTTTGTTTACCAGGAAAATTTGTTTCCTGTTACCAATTTTAAACTAGTTTATCTATTGATAAATGTTAGAATTATAACGTTTTACCAGATGTAAATAAAATAAATTTATTTATTTATTTAAAAAAAATAGAAAATAATTCATTTCTCTTAAGAAAAGTTTCATTTGTAATTACTTAAACAACACAAAAATCGATTGAATAGAATATAATTTAATGTTTATGTTTGATGTCTCTATCCGAGGCACACGACCACCCCCGAAAAGGAAGTGTAAACTCTCCCGAGATAATTAGTTTACATAAAGCATTGTCACTTTCAAAAGTGGACGAACTATGATATGAATTATATTTTTTAACTTTGTTTTCTTTTTTTTTAAATATTTAATTACAATTATTTAATAATAAAAAAATATTCTAAAAGTTCTAAATTAAATTTTGGTATATTAAATAACAGATGTTTAATTTTAAATACATTTAAATAGGAACAAATAATCGGACTTTGATACAAATTGTTATCACTTTTATTTGATTTCCTGCTGCTAATTTACTTCTCTTTTAAATAGCTGTAATTAAAATTTATATTTTACAACATAAAAGAATATAAATACAGTCGAATCTTCACCCCTAAACAACGGCCATTCTTTATAAAATTCGTTAAAAACAATTCCGTTGTTCAGAGGTTTGACTGTATTTAATTTTATTTAAAATTAATTAGAAAGATAGAACGAAAATTTAAGTATCCAGTTAAATATTATTGATTAAGATTTTTTAATTTAATTTAATTTTTTTTTTTTTAACTTTAGATTACGTACATCCGAAGAAAAGATTCGACAGGAAATATATATCTACAGTAACAAATAATGAAAGTTATAGTCTGATTGATCAAGAACTTCCTCGTTTTAACTGGTTGGAGAAGAAAATTAAATATGGACAAATGAAAACAGCCGATAGGGAAAATAAGGAGAATTGTAAAGATGATGATGTTTCTTGCTCCAAAGTGTTAGAAATTGACGAATCTGAAGAAAGGATATCGGAAATTACAATTAATCAAAAAGTATTTGTCATGTTTTTAATGTGTTTATACTTTAGTTTAAATAAGAATTAATTTAAATAATTTCCTGAAGGAATTTCTTGAATATATTTTGGTATTATCCAAAAGAAATGGGAGCTAATACAGGCATGTTTTAAATTTTTAATTAATTATAATTGTATTGATTATGGTCGGATGGTCCAGGCGATTAAGACATCGGCGTATCGCTCTGGGGGATTCGGGATTGAATCTGGACGATCGGTCCCAAGAATTTTTCGTAGGGTGATCTGTTTCGGACGTCCAACCCTGTTTCTTATCAACCCACCCACTCCTATTGTGGTCTGACTGAACACACAACTGATATTTAAAAGGCCCTCTTAGTGCCGATAGGGCACTCAAAAAAACTTCGAAATCTTCACGCGGAAAGTCAACATTAAATCACACACACACACACACACACATACACACACATACAACAACAACAACACGTATTGATTATATATATATCAATCAGTATACACATCAGTATACACTTAAATATATGGAATATAAGCAAATATATCTTCATTATAGATTATTTTATATAGGTATTTTCGTGTTGCACACGGTAGTGGCTTTAGGCATAAACAATCTATACTTGTGCCTAGGGCCTCTCGATTTTAGAAACCTCATATACGGAGATTATATTGATGGTAATCAATCCAATTCAATACAAGGGCATCTGTCAAGGGAAAAATGCCTTACATGAAGACTTTCTATGGGAAATTGGTCCCTATTTAACTGTTGATATGTAAATATGTGAAGTAAACCCGGAAAACTTCACGCAGCCAGCCCGTTACTGAAATGCGAACTCACGATCAATTACTAGTGTTCAGTGTTTTTATCCATTCGGCCTCCAATAGGCTGTAAGCCTGTGATGAATTATAGATAAGAGATAAAGTAACCATGTAACCTTCTCATTTACAAATCAAATTTTAATTATGGTTAAATATATATACATATTTCATGGATACACAGTGGAATTACGCAGCAACACTCGTGTTTTTTTATACCTTTAATCTTGTTTTCTGTACAAATATATTAATTAATAAATTTATCAAAATAAATTGTTGAATGTTATCCAACTTTTTTAAAACTGATACACTTGGCATTTCAACAAAATAAATTTTTAATGCCTCGAGGTATTGTATTGAAGGTTACCAAAATTTTGTGTGTTGAGTCAATAAACATGAGAGATAAAAGAATTATTTCGTTTTAATTTTTATACTAATTTAATGTCTTTATTCGTTTAAGATAAATGGAAAAAACTGTTTATCAAAAATTCTAAATAAAATTCGAACCTGAATGACTCTGAGACCACCAGTGACCGAAGATAAAATCTCTGAACACTAGTACAGTAGAGCCTCGATTATCCGACCCAATTGGGGATTCGGGTTGGTCGGATAATTGAAAAGTCGGATAACCGAAAAGTATGAAAAAACCCATTATTAGTGTAGTATATTATTATATCCCATGTAATTAGTATATTAGTATATTGCTATTAACCTACTTCATCGATGTTAAGCCTAACAAAAATTTTTTAAAATAATAATCGTCGCTATTGTATCGTTAAAAATTAGAAAATTAAGCCTCGTTTAATTAAGCCCTTTCATGGTCGAATGAGTGTTGCCAGCTAAAACACGTAAAAATAATATTAAAGTAACCAAGACATAGCCAAATATTGTAGCGCCACATCACTAGCGGACATCTGAATTTGCTGACTAGAACGTGGTCGGTTAACTGAGGTGTCGGTTAATCGGGGGTCGGATAATCGAGGCTCTACTGTAGTTCGCGGTCGTGGGTTCGAGCTTGGTCAGCAGGCTGGCCACGTGCAGTTTTCCTGATTTTTTTCACGTTTGTAACAGCTAAATAGGGATCAGTTTACCATAGAAAGTTTCCCAGAAGGCATCTCCTGTCGGCAGATCGCTCACGTGTCGAGTTGCCGTAACAAAATAAACCTGAATGACCCTTCCGATATCAATGATAATTTTCAAAGTCATTCAAGATAAGAAACAATTTACTTGCACTTAAGTCCGTTGTTCGGAAGTGTCCGTTATTTGGAGGTTATTTTCAATGCATTTGAAAAAAAGAAACGTTCCTGAAAAGAATGGCTTTTGTTTAGAGATGGTCGTTATTGGAGGTTAGTCACAAAAAATGAATTCATATTCATATAATTGTAAGAGTTTATAACAATTATATTATAAAGTATATAATAAACATTACACAGAGTGGTCCAAAAGTTTTGAAAAGGCTATATTATAGCTGCCTTATTCAAATATCTAAAGTATTTATACATGATGACCCAAAAGTCAGTTAACTATTTCAAAATTTGAACAAGACAATAACTTAATCCTTATAATGATCAACTGGACTTTACGACCACCCTGTAAAAACCCAAGTATTTAGCCTTTAGAACGGTAAACTGAATTTTGGGTCATAAAACTACTTAAACCATTTTGTTAAAATACAAGATGGGCCGAAAATCAGTTAACAAATGCAAAACTTACTGTTCGCATTGGGTAACTGACTTTTGGGCCATCCTTTATGTTTTAAATTATTCTATTAGTAATTATTTAATTTAATTTTTTTTTAAATTAATTATAACTGAAGCATTTCTAGAGAAGAAAAATAAAATTTAATATCGATATCTTTAAATTAAAAATTAAAAAAAGAAAAATTAATTAAACAGAAAAATAATAATAATAAATATAAATTAAAACGAATTGTTTACGGTTAAAATTTAATTAAAATAATAATTACATAAAAGGAAAGATTTTACTCATTTATTAAAAATCACACAATTTATCTAATTTGATATAATTAAAATTAATTGTAGCTGAAATTAAATTAAATTAAATTAATTAAAATTCTTCTTAATGAGTCGAGTTAAAGATAATTAAAATCTATAAATATATTTTACAAAATAATTAAAATAATAATTTTTTAAAATTAAATAACGAAGAATTTTTTGAATTTTGTTTTTGGAGGAAGAAGAAGAAACATCACCTGACATATTTGTCACCTTTATAGGCTAATTATTTATTTTACTTTCCATTATAGATAAGAATTATACTGTCATTTATGAATTTAAATATCCATTAAAGCCATTAGATATATTTTACTCTCCACAGAATTACGTCAAAGTATCATATATTGTAATTAAATCCAGTTATAAAAGTAAAAATATAGTTTTTCAGCTTAAAAAAAAATTCACTTCGGTTGCCTGTCTGTAAGATTTCTCGAAAACTAAAAGTGATAGCAACTTTAAATTTTCAGCGATTTTGTAAGACATATTCATTTTTCATAATTTTTAATCAAATTGCCTTCCCTCGTTTTGGTACTTTTTTAATAATTCTATACGCAAAATTGTAAATTTCTCAAAAAATATAAAAAATAAAGCGATGGTTGTTAGTATTCTTTTCGCACACTTGTTCTGTTATATAATAAGCTACAAAAAACGTCTGTCTCAGATTTGGATAACAAAAGAAAAGGACATGACTAGTCAGGTTAGGACAAAGTTCGACAGATTCAGGCTGAACTGAATATATTTTCAATTTTTAAACAATTTATAATTGTTTTAATGTATATAATATGTTTAAAAATACTTATGTCAAGTCATTGTCGTAGTTATATGCTACAGGATACACAGTGGAATTACGCAGCAACACTCGTGTTTTTTTATACCTTTAATCTTGTTTTCTGTACAAATATATTAATTAATAAATTTATCAAAAGATGGTGGTATGACACCTACCGTTAAGCAAAATTACTTGTATTCAATTATCAATAGTAGCCATATGCTAGCCTGATATAATCCAGCATTGCAATTGGCATTTATCAAATAATTTGTATTTGCTTATTTAAACAATTAGAAAAGTCATTTCATTTAATAAATTTGCCTTTTTTCTTTTATTTTCAAAATAATATATAGTAAAAATGGACACATACCAGTTATAAAATGTTGGGAACATTTCAACAAACTATTCAATAATTTTAATGTTTTGTTGGTTATAGCAGTTCATGAAATTATATAAATTTTATCTATAAAAAAATTGGTAGAATTTATATTTGTATCAGTTCTCATTCATAAAAAAACAATTATAAATATACATTGTAAAAATGTTTTGCTTAAATTATAGTTGATTACAACCATAATTTGAACAAACAATATCTTAAATGATATACCTCTNTTTAAATATACTATGCTACAAATTTTTTATGAATATTTTCGATTTTTTTTATTTATTTAGGAGCTTATATCAACAAAAATCGATAAAAACGAAATTGATAAAGGCGAAGAATTGGCCTCTGATGTGAAAGAATCTTCTACAACTCTTACAAGTCAAACAAATAAATATTTAAATTCATCAGATTTCAAAGATACATCAGATGAGTAAGTTTAAAAACATCTAAAAAATAAATAACTTTTATTATTTGATTTAAAAACAAGAAAAAGAACTAAAATTTTGATTATTTTTCACTCATTCAGTTCGGATTGCGCGCTTCAAATTGATGAAGATGTTCCTCCTAATCCAGAGCCTGAAGGTAAAATATCTATTTTCATGGAAATAAATGAGTTTTTAAATGTTGAATTTAATGTACTTTTTATATTTTGTTTTATTTTTTCAGAGAGGATTTTAGAAGATGGTATTTATTTAGTTATAAGCAACGATCATAACGGTTCACAAACTGAAGCACCTTACTTGGCACAATCTACTGATATACTATCTCAAGCTATAGAAAAAAGTAATTGTAATCTTTCTGAAAAAGAAATTACCATATCTTCAGATTTATCTTTAGAAACGGAAGATAAAGACGAACAGGAACACGTATGCAATAATAAATCATGCTTATTATCAGTTCCAGAAAAGTTGAAGACGAATGTACATAAGAAGAATTTATCACAAGTGCCTTGGTTAAAACCATCATCAACCATTATTGAAGATAATTTAGAGAATAATAATAATAATAATTCCGATCCAAAAATTATCAATCCTGAATCAGATCTTAATTCAAAAACCTTTATTTTTAACACGGATCAAGTTAACAAAACGAAAAATAAAATCGATAATAGTGAAGTAACAGTTGAATCATTTAACGAAGCTGTTACTCAAGTGAACCCAGATCAAGTGAATGAAAATAAAAGTAATGACACTTTAAATAATGCAGAAAGTTCAAAAACTTTAGTTATTGAGGAAGAAGATGAGAGCAAAAAAGATAAACAGAACAATTCGATGCCTTTACAAAATAGTAATTTAAACCAATTGCAATGCATTAATGATCGTGTAAATAATGTGCAAAGTTTAAATTATTACGTTCCTCTTGCGGCAAAAGGTTCTGAAAAAATCCCTGTGTTATTGCCCTACAAAACACAAGAAAATAAAAGTCAATCCGTTAAAGATTACGAAGTACCCAAAACTGTGAGCTTCAACGTGCCCACCGTTCCTCAAGAAACCAATACTAATTTTGATAATCTAGTCTATAGCAATGTAACAACAACACACAGGTGGAATTTTCAAAGTTCTACCATTACTCAAAATCAAACTAATGATCCTGTTCCAGAGAAAAATCAAGTAAACACTTCTTATGTTATTCAAAGGACCGATGTTACTCCTCCAGTAACAAATCAGAATGAAAGAAAAACAGTCTCTCCTGCTTCTAACCAACCAAAAGATAATGTATTTACTATATCCAAAATATTAGAAATACCAAATTCGGAAGATAACAGAGGGTGTCGGGAAAATTTGAATTCTGAACCAAAAACTCAAGAAAGTGGAACTGAAAATACAAAATCGTACTCGACAACATCACAGCAAGTATTTAATCAAGAAAAAAGAGATGATGATGGCATTAAAATAGTTTATGATAGTTCGGTTGATTCCTCAAAACCAAAGCCTATCACTCCTACCGCAGATTCTACTAGAATGGAAAAAAATAAACAGGAACAAACCAATGAAATCATTCGAAAAATTCTAACAGAAGCAAAAGTAACAGCAGAACAACCGAATGTACTGAAACCTACTAAACCAGCATTTACTCCCCCCGCGTATAGACTACAAATGATTCCACCTACCCCATTAATATCCCAACCTCTTCCACCCACTAAAGATGTGGAAAAATTGACATTGCCACAATTTATGTCAGGCGTAGAAGATAAAAGAAACAAACCACAGACTAAGGAAACACCAACCACTGAATATCAGAATATATCCAGTTATCAACAACCTCCGAAATCATTGAGGGAAGAGGTTGAATTTCGTAAAAGAGAGCTGATGTATCTTGATCAATTAGCAAGAAAACGAGAAAAAGAATTTGAAAGGTTGCAAAATATTAGAAAATCTAAAATAAGGTTGCTAAAAATGCTAGAAAATCGCATCCCTCAAGCACTTACTAAAGACTACGGGACGGCAGAAAGTTTTAGTCCCATTCAACCAATCAAACCAACAGTTAACTGGAATGGACATTTTTTAAACAAGAACATTAAATTGTCAAAAACTTTATCTTCGATAGCGCAACCAGTGTCAGCTAATCCTGTGATGATGAACAGTGTAGTTCCTCCATATCCAGCGTGTATACCTGCAAATGAACATGTACATTACGAATTGAAGAATTTCATGTCTGCAATGAACAATAAAATACAAGATCCTTTAAAAGAAAATCCAAATGGTTATAGCCAAGAAGATCCCAACAGAGATACAACACAGAAACCTATTTATTCTATGGCAACATTACCTTTCCGAGTACCTGCCACACATCCTATTGCAACAACAAACGTTGCAAGGGTTATGCCAATTACATACGCGGAATCTAGAGTGCTGCAACCCAAACCTGCTAAACCTGTTGTTGTTGCAACGAATTTTCAAGATCCCAATTATCCCATAAAGACCTCAGTGAATATCCCATTTTCAAAAGATAACGGGGAACCATCTAGTGTAAGTAAGGGTTGTTATTCCGCTTATCCTTATCAAGATATGAGCCACATGGACTCCATGTTTTGCTGTGTTCCTCCAAAAATAGTTTACATGTCTAATGGTCAACCAAATCATCCTATTCAAAATCAGTCTCAACAACAACCACAACCACAAAAACCGCAACCACAGCATCAGCAGCAGCAGCAGCAACAACAACCACAAAAACAACCACAATCACAACAGCAACAACAATCGCAGCAGCAACTGCAGCAACAACAATCACCTCACCAACAAGAAAAGGATAAAGAAGAGCCAATGAAAAACGCACAAAACAACTTAACAAACAAAGTTTGGTCCGATCAAACGAATTGGCAACACTGTCCACAGAAAATAGCACCCAAGCCAATTTACCAATCGGACATTAGAGTTGGAAATTCTGGCTTCTGGCCATCATCCGCTCAATCCAATATTGGATTATTTAATAGAAGTCAACCTCAAAGTTTTCAAGCCGAAGTGATACAGGTAAGTAATATTTTTGTCATCTATAAATTAGCAATTTATTTGTATAAACTAATTAATTAACACATTAAACAGTCTCCTCCTCAAAGAGACGATAATTCGAACGGATTAGTATTTGTGGATGCATCTAAGGCCTCTCACACATGCAACTATTGTAAAGGAAATGCAATATTCCTTTGTTCTGCCTGTAAAAAAGCTTGGTATTGTGGAAGAGAATGTCAGGTAAGCCATGTATTGTTACTTTGAAGTTTAAACTACTTGCTTACTAGCTTTTCCACTCGAAAATCTTTGCGCAAGAAACAGATGTAGACTTATAAGAGAAACACGAACTGTTTAAAGATTGATGAATTCGTGCAAAAACGTCATTTGTACTAAATTTCGATTGTTATAAATCGAGCAACGTATTATAAGTAATTTTGTATTCATCGAAACAATTTAAGAGAGAAGAAAAATTATTTCTTTTTTAAGGATAAGAATATGATGACACCAGATTGATTCTATCACGAAAGGATTTCGTGAGAAATAGAGCTTGAGAGATAAACATTTTAAAAATATATTTCTGTTTAGCTTTTGTGAAAGGCTGAATTACTTTAATTATAACATTCTTGTTTCATCTTTATTACTGTTGTAATTCATCCAGTCATTTTTTATTCTTAGTGAGCTTGTGAACAATAGTTATGTAAATTTTCTATTCTGTGGCAGTTTCTTTGTGCTTCATATCAGAGTTAATTGTTAAAGTTCATACACATTTTGTTTTTTGTCATTCTCTGTTCATATTATTTCCAACTTTTTCAAGCATCTTCGCTGTCTGAAGGACATTCTCTCTTCTCGTAAATAAAAGTTAATATTAATGAACAGTGTTCGTAGAATTGGATTGATGAAATAAGTCAATGCAACACTTCGAAAATCTGCTAAAGAGGAATTTCTCGCAGGAGGACTTTCTGTGGAAACTGGAACCTATTTAAGTATTAGACAAGTGAAGCAAACACGCAAAAACAAGTAGCTAATCTGTTGGTCAAGCACGAACCCGCAACTAGTGTTGAATAGTTTTATCCATTTGGCCACTGGTGGGTATCTTGTTCATAAGAAGAAATGCCCGAATGTGGGAAAAACACCGTAGTTGTTTGTGAGTTTACGCTAACGAGCTAGTTGCGAGGAGTTTTCAAGGTATTATTCACGTGTCTAACACAGAAATAGAGGCAGTGTCTCATAGAAAGTCCTCTCGACAGCACCCCACTTGAAAGATGGCCCATGTGTTGCATTTTCGTTCTTACAATTCCTTCCAGTGAAGCATGAAATATTTTCATGTCCTGCTTCATTATTACAAGGTTACATAGCTCCTTCGCTTTATAGCATCGATTTTTTTTAATTCAATATTTTATAATTAAGCTCAAAACTCGCTACTCGATCTCGTGAATAAATTCCAATAATCTAAATCTTCCACCTTTTATTCTTAGAAGAAATAAGTTATAAAAAGGTAAGAACTTATATTAAATTATTTAAAATTGGAAATTATTTTTCGACTAAGGAAGGAGAATTAATAATAATGCACTTTTAATTAAAAAAAATTCCTCTTTTATAATTTATTTCTCAAAATACATTTTATTTTATTATGTATTTAATTAAATTCTGAATGTTTCTTTCCTCCTCCTCGATCGATTTTTATCGATTCTTAAAGACGAAGCCAAGTCCAAAATAAGACATTTGCAAATTCAATGTGAAGTAAATGAAGTTTATTCGTATTTTTATTTTTTGCTTTCTCATTATTTATAAATCAGTTTTAGATCGAATTTCCTCCCCCTTCCTCGTTACCTGGTCACGTGAACGTCTCTTTAGAAATAATCATTTTTATATCATTTTCCTTTATTTATGAGAAGAAAATTCGCTTAGAATACGATGATTTTTTGATGCAATCAAAAAAATTTTATGCTAAATAAAAACTTACGACATGAAATGAAAGAATGCATTCATTAAAAATGTAATTAATTAATTCAGTAATTAGAAAATCGCGAATTAGAATTAAGGTAAAAAAATAAAACAGAATGTCTGCACCATGCACTTTCGCCATGCTTTACGCTATGAAATTTGTTGATAAGAAGCGATGCGGCACTACTCCACGAGAGGAAAGATTATTATAATTTCTGTTTCTGGCATTATTTTTAAAACTTATAATCATCGTAATTGATTTTTAACACGAAAACTATTTAAATTTTATAAATTATAACAAAAAATTAGTCCTAGTTTCTTCTCTATATACAATAGTGACGCGTAGTCTAAGCGAAACGCAACGCGACCCTACGCGAAACAACGCTGCAAAACATAAACAAATTAGCGATTTATAAATGTATTTTTACATAAATGTTTAAAAATTAAGACAAATTAAAATTTTAAACATAAATTTAATTCATTAATTTATAAAACTATTGATTAACCTTAATTAAAATCGAAACCTTCGCGTCAAATCGCGTCGCGTCGCGTCGATGCGTAAGCGATAACATCGTGTCTACATAAAGACGAAACAGCACATACCGTGTACTTTTTAAAATTTTTTCTAATTGAATTTTTTTAAATACATTTTTTTTGCTAATTTTTTCAATCTCTTACAGAAAATCAATTGGATTCAGCATTCGTCTGTTTGCATAGCAAATCGGAGTCTGACATAAACGTTGAACAAAGCATCTGTACAACGTTTCTGTACACGTCAATATTTATCTGTGATCTAAAAAAAACGAAAACAAAAACACAAAAATACAAACAATGTGCGCGTGCGGACGCTCACAGATCTCAATCTCATTTATTGCTCAATGACTATTTACTGTATTAGCTTGAAGAATTTAGAATCTTTTATGTTACATTATTCTTTTTATTTTCTTCGTGCAAATTTCATGTTCCGTCCATTGGAAGAAAAGAAACTTCAAAAAGAAACAGCAAAAGAAAAGGAAAAAAAAACAATTTTTAGATACAGTCAAAAACATTGTTGTATTATTTATTGTAATAAAAAAAATCATTTGTAACATTTTAAAAAATTATATATATATATAT